GTTGCAGACCGGGCAGCTAACAGATTTGTTTAAAGTTTCTGCCGTTTGGCAAGTGATTGTTGTGTTCTTAAAATAAAAAGTTGTTTAATTTACGAATTAACTGTCTGGTTTCTTCAACTTTCAAAATCTGCCAACAAAAAAAATCTGCCTTTAAATTTGAAAGAAATAATGATTTGACATCTATCGTGATAATTCTCGATATCGACTGATATGAAATTTTTTATCGGGATAATGTTTTTGGCCATATCGCCCAGCCCTACACAGAAGATACCTGTAAGCGTCAAGCATTTGAAAAAAAAAACAGGCTTCAAATATTTTCTCAACTGGAAATTGACCTCCGTTACTTAGCCCTGTGAAACTCAAAAGCCAGTAATCATATAAAAATAAATTTAGCACACTTAAGTGCTTTCAGATGTACTGCCAATTTCTTTCAGATGCCACACGTACAGACTTAAAACTTATTGGAAGTTACCCAATACTGTAGCGGCTAAGACTCAGTTACATAACATAACAGATGCTCACCTTGAACAATTGTTCATTAGTGAAAGAGATTTTTCCAGTTCCTGCTTCTACTAAGAATGACACCCAGGGGACGAGCCCACTGCTGTACTACACCCTCTCAGCAGACCTCACTCCTTCAGTCGCCTCTTACAAAGTGCTTAGATTTGCTCCTCTGCTTCATCCGGAGTCCTTCATCTCTGATCATTATGCACGCCTCCCTTGAAATCTCACCAAAAAAAACACTGAGGAAAAAGAGTTAGATCTCTATAAACAGGCAGCCAGCTCTTTACTCAAGTAACACATTAGTTAAGGCACAGTAGGCCTCAGGGCAAATGATGGGGCATTCTTGAAAGGGACATTTGCCAGGGACCCCGGTTTCTTCCAATTGCCACCCCACTTGAGAACAAAGACTCAACACTGAGCAGTAACAGCTTCAGAATCCATTTAGTGTAAATTATTATCGAGACACAAGCCTGAAACACTGATGGTTGTGAAAGAGGCTCAGAGGCTGCACAGGGAAGTCAATGCCAGAGTGTGACTTAGCCAGCAGCTCTGCAATTCCAGAGCTTTAGGAAACATGCAAGTATACATCATGAATCTGAGAGAAGCAAGACCTTTTAACAATAAGCACTTTAGGTTCTCCCACAGCAAGATTATTTCTGAAATGTAATGCCATCTTCCTTGCTATAAAAGAACAGAACAAGTCGACATTCCGTCGTTAAACTACTAGCAAGACTAAAATATGTTGAACACAGTATAAAATCAGATAAGCATGCCAGGCAATTAGAGACTGTGTGAGACTTAATAAGTGTATCCTGATGGTATTTGGAGATGGAACTACAAAACACAAACTAAAGGGAAGTGAAATTAAAACCGAGAACAACCCAATAAGACGACCCTTCACCACACCGCCAAATTCAGAAGCAGCAACTTCCAAATCTAGACACATGAACTCAACAATGTAATAGGGTAGCTAACTCAATCGTGCAGTTTTTATAGACTATTCAACATAAAAAATAAAAAATAACTTTAACTCAGCCAGTTTTAACGTATTAATGCATGGGACCTACAGATGGGAAAACCCACAGTTAAGATGCCAACCACTCTGATGGTGCACTCATAAATTAAACCTCTAAACTCCTGCCTGTTGTCCAGCTTTCTGCTGCCCAATATGAATGCAGTAAAATGCAGCTTTACACTTTTCCCAGTAATAAAAGCTCTGCCAAAATGCCACCATTAACTTACATTAGAACAGGGCTGTCCAGTCCTGGTCCTGGAGGGCCAGTGCGCCTGCAGGTTTGAAAGGTCTCTTTAATGCAGCAGCTCACACAGAACTGTTTGAAGCGGTCAAATTATTCCAGGTAAATCAGCAACCAACCGTTTTAGTGCCTTAAGAGCTGAGTTTGAACACAAATCTGCAGACACACCTGAATTAGGGTATGGCTCACTCAAAAACACAATGCAAGTGCAGTTTAGAGAGGAAGCTGACAAAAAATGTTCCACTTATTTTCAGCTCTGAAGCATTCAGGAAAAGCAGATTGTGGAAAGCTCTTTTTAAATGGGGTCTTACTGTGTTATTGCGTACTGTTGCATCAGAAGTGGAAAAAACCGAAAGCTCAGGGGCAGGGCTGGTACACATTCCAGCACGGAAAGAAACTGCTGACCAAGCACAAATCCTGAGTGATGAAACAGACATCTTCAGAACGTAAAGATGGTTACAAATCAGAGGAGACCACTTGGACCAACTAGTCCATCTGGTAGTTAGTGATCATCTGATCCAAGAATCTCATCCATCCGTTTCTTAAAAGATTCCGGGTCATTGGCTTCAACAACATGACTGCGTAGCTTATTCCAACTCCCACAACTCTTTGTGTATCGGAGTGCCCTGTTCTTAGGTTTCAAAGCCCTTCTGCACAGGTTTCACTCAGGCCCTCTGGTTCGTGTTTCACCGCTGAAGTAGAACATAGAACACTTATATATATCATTGATGGAAAATATATGTATAATTGATCTGTATTCAACACTACAGTATTAATTCAAGCACATTGTGTAATGTGTCGGCTGTCTTAACATATCAAAAGACAGCTTCACATCAAAGGACAGGACCAACCGGTCAACTCATGCTACATATCAAAAGGGCAAGACAAATACCCATGAACCGGTGAAACAAAACTTCTTCCTGAGATCATACTGTATGTAAGAGCTGGGAAGAGCTTGCAGTCTGTTCTGTGAGGCAGACCCAACGTGCGTCGATGTCATTATTGAGCTCAATAAAACAACTGAATCCACGCAAGACTGTGTCCTGATCCTTTGATGAAGGATTTCCCACAACACCGCTTGCTCTAAAAAAAACTACCGGGTCGATTTGAATCAATCATTTTGAGGATGATACCGAGACGACGTCTTTTCCACAGTGTGGTGACCACGACTGTATGCAGGACTGTAAACGACGGCCAATTACATTTAAGCCTTTGAAAGCGGGACAAAAGACGACAGCACACTCTGTGGCACAAAGGATTTATTGGTGCTACAGTTTCAGGCAGGGAATTTATTGGCAAGAAAATCTGCATGAACTCCAAAAAAAACTGAAGTGGATTTACACACAGTCTTCAGAAGAAAAAACATGGAATTTTAAAATGATGAAAAAAAAACAGACGACAGAACTTTGTAACTGAACAAAGGATTGAAAATCCTCAAAGGCAAGCCAACGGATTTCCCCAGAATCAGCAAGGTATGAAACACGGACCATAGGGCACAAGTGACCTTCTCTTCAGAGAGGGTGGCTGAGGTGTAGAACAAGCAAGTGAGGCAGGTGGTGTGTATTAAAGATCCAGTATTATACGCTAACATTTTCCCTCTGATATGTACAATAGGTGGCGTAATGTACTGGCTATTTAAAGATGATGGCAGATGATGATGACTATAGCGAGAAAGCAGTCATGAAATGGCTTGACTTGTGAACACCTGCTACATTGTGCCATAGCAGTCTTACAGAACCTATTTAGTAGAAAACTGCGAGGAAGTGATCTGGTCAAAAGTACTCACTGAAGATAAGGTTTTCAAAAACTCGGACCAGTCTAACGAGACTGGGCTAAAAAAAGCATCTCCGACTTCGGGTTAGGAGCAGGAGGTACGCGAAACAGCAACACCGGGATCAGTTTTATTGCTGGTAAAGGTAGAGTTTGTTAGCCAAGAGAGAAACCAAAAGCATTCATAGAAACAATGGGCTTGGGGTCTTTAAAGAGAAGAGCGTGTCTTGTTCCAATTCAGTTCCAGCCCTGGCAGCCAAGACTCCCCATCAGCCAGGCCCTGAGCAGAGCTCCTCCCAGGAGGACAGGAATGCTGGCCGGCAGCTCGAGGGCAGCAGCTGGGAACGGGCCAGCTGGTCGGAGTCACACAGGAACGGCTGGGCACCGCAGCAAAGGCGCAGACTTCCGTCAACATACACCTCAGTCTCCGCGAGGCCCGGCGCTAACCTGGGGTGGCACGCCGGACCCAGTGCCCACGTTATCATACCTACGATTCAGGATGGCAATAAGCCTGAATGCAACTGTTGCATCTGTGAGATTTGTAATAACAGATGCCTCCGACCGACCTGAAAAGGAAACTCCCTCAATTTTAGAACTGTAACCAGGATTGGGCGGAGTCGGGTCATTTTTTTCCCAGCAAATAATTAACGGGCACTTCCTCAACATTGATATCGTTATGATGCAGCCCTGTCATGTCCATCTTAGAAACCACTTTCCAGCAAACAAAGCTTTTCCCCCCCCCTCGCAAAGCAAAGAAGTTAAAGGGTGAGGGTTTAACTCCAGCTCCTCTGGGGCCTGCAGGGTCTCCTGTTTTCTGCAGTGTAAAGGCAACATGGGCGTCTGCCTGGGCTGGGAGCTGTCAATGAGCCCATTCACACAGCTGGGCCGACCAGAACAACAGGGACAGATCCCCTTCAGCGAGGACTCACCTGCAGTGTTAGCCTTGTAGACATGGATACCAGATACCATGCTCATGTGTCCCAAGGTGCATCTACTACTCCTGGCTGGCTGCTATATCATCTAATACCAGGTAATACCAAGCATACCCCCACTACATGTCTTCTTGAATGCAAAACAACCTTCACTCCAGACCCTAAAGAGACAACCCCCCCCCCCAGTCTTACAAATTATTCTTATACAGTTTAGGACTGATGAGGATTTCACCCCAGGGAACTTCCTCTAGTCCTGCCTGAAGAATCTGGAGATTTGCTCACCAACACAAAAGCTCAGAGTTCGAGAAATGCCCTAATGCCACCCCTCTCCAATGTGCACAGCAGAATGAAGCACACTTCAGAGAAAACACACAAAGTAAAACTTTCATACAGTCCAATAATCTGAGTTACGCCATAACTTTGCATGGAGTGCCAGGCTTTACAAAAGCAGGTCAGTCTATTCCACATCCCTACATTTACCTATGAAAGTTTTAGAATTACACCCCACTTCCCTGGTTTGCATGCATGTTGCATTTCTTGCACAGTAAGTACAAGAAATAGCTTTTCAAGATTGCTTCCAGACCATCATCGACCGAGGGCTTGTGATTGAGGTCAGTGATTTCACTGAAATTTACGTGTTTTTTGCACAAGACAAAAAAATAAGAAGTGAGTGTTATGGTGGTATTGTGGCGCAGAGGTTGGCATCGCTATCTAGCAGCACCAAGGCCTTGAGCTCAATTCTGAACCTGGGGTGCTGTCTGTGTGGAGTCTGAATGTTCTCCTCACGTTCACGTGGGTTCCCTCTGGGTGCTCCGATTTTCCTTCCACAATTCACAGACATGCTGGTGGGTTTACTGGCTTCTGGGAAAACTGGCCCTGGTGTGAGTGTGTGCTTGTTTGTGTCGGCGTTTGCCCTGCAAAGGACTGGCATCCCCTCCAGGCTGAACCCAGCCTTGGCCCACTGAATGCAAGAAAGTTCCCCTGTGACCCTGGGCTGGATAAAGCCGTAAAAAAAAAGACTGGCTCATTAACTGCTTCTTTTGTATGTCACAGCTATGTGTGCCCCTCACGGCGGAGAGGCCGGCGACGACACACAAGCAGGGTAAGCTGGCCCTCCAGCCCGAGACAGAACAGCAGAGCTGCCGACGCACCTCTCCGCCAGCGAGGGCAGGTGACGCGTTCACACAGCCGTCAACCAGACAATTCTAAACTTAGACTTCTCGCCTCTGGAATTGAGGACCTGGAAAAAAACCAAATCTCCACACTGTTTGCGGCAGTCAATTGCCTTACGTCACCTGTAACAGTGCTCACTAAGAGAAACGATGCCAACCTTTATGTAGCACCTCTGTGGCACTGCATAATAAAACCAAGCACATACATTCACAATAATGCAGTAAAGTCAACGACATTAAAGCCCAGGAGCTGAACTAAGGGCAGACTTAAAAAGGTTTGGGAAAGTTTTGAAGGCTCTCGGCTCTAGACATAAGGAGGATCGCTCCTGGACATGGTACACATTCGTACACTTTCCATGTAGGTGTCCAAAACAATTCCTCTATAGGATAAAAATCACTGCTGACGTGCTGTATGTTTGCAAAGGTTTGTGGGAAAGTTCTTGGCCTTTATCCATTCTCCCAGAGAGGGCGGGTGTGGCTGCCAGTCTTATCAGCGGCTGTGAGGGTTAAGATGCACAAGGGCTGTCACAGTGGAGGACATCTGTCCCCAGACAGCTCTCCAGCGTAGCCTACAGACCGTGCCCTGAGGCTGCCACATCCTTCATGTACCAACGCCCACAGTGTTGTACCCATTTACAATCATAATGCACACGCTCCTATCAAGTCCTTAGCTATACCCTCTGAAAGTATTTCCTTAACTGGTGCAGTTTCCCCTAAACTGGGTGCCGTTACACACCTCAGCATGAGTGACTTATTGATTACAGTAATTATTATAACTACAATAATAATTCCTTGCACTTGTATAGCACTCTTCTTGGCACTCTCCTCAAAGCGCTTTACAGGTAATGGGGACTCCCCTCCACCTATATGATGTGACAGCAGCCACAGTGCGCCAGTACACTCACTACACACCAGCTATCAGTGGGGAGGAGAGCAGAGTGATCAAGCCAGTTCAGAGATGGGGATTATTAGGAGGCCACGATTGGTAAAGCCCAGGGGGAAATAATCTGAAAGGTGCTGGACCGTATCATTTTGTTCTTTAATCCCAGTCCACTAAATACTTTTCCTAAAACAACCGGTCGACAACAGGCAGGGAACAATGACTTTCCGAAGGCATGCATGCTCAGCCACTGTGCAGCGGATCCCTCGCTGAATTCCACACCGACTGGCGCTTCATTCGGGCACAATGGACGGTGCCGCCACACAATGGACGCGCTCAGGCGGCCACGCCGGGTGGCTTTGCACCAGAAAGCACAACAACGCACGTGGGCAAGCCACCGAGCCCACGGACGCGCCACCGCCGCTTCACGTTTGCCCGCAGATCACATGTTGTAAAGACCGTGACAACAGCATCTGCTATGCGTGGCCGACAGCACTGCTCCGAAACCGCGTCGCTGCCTTCTCATCGCGCTGTTAATTAAAGCCCCGCGTATCCGACACGACGTATGAGGGCTCAAAGTTAGCCTCGGTAAGCGATTCCCTGCGATGACGTGAGGTAGCGCTGCTGTGCACATCACCAGACGCACCAGGAGGTAGCTGGAACACGGGCCTAGAGAGAATGGACCCACAGACACGCGTTCCTGCGTGGAACCATAACGACCCCAGCCGCCCGCGCCGTTACCCGGGCCACACGGTATTCGGAACTACAGTGTCGTTTACCTGTCTTCGCCTTTGTTTTTCTGTTTCTTGCCCATTGTCGCTGCGTGGTAAATCTTCCGTGAAAACTGCGCCTCACCGCTGCCCTGCTCTCAGCCGCTCATATGGTCGCGAGGAACACTCGCGCAGGCGCTCCTCCGGTGCGCGCACGTCGCAGGGTGAGCCTCGCACAGAGATGACCTCACTCTGACGTATCCGTATGTTATCCTCACAACTGTATTCTTCCTTCTCCGTGTATTATCTTTATTGTTTATTATTGAGTTGGTTTTATTGATTGTGCATTATGGAGAAGAAATAAACTAAAAAAAAATCTTTAATGTATCCAGTTAAGTATGGGTATTCAGTTAAGGGTGTATCATATAAAATTCTTCTTATATGATTCCCTTTACCTTATTCACACATTAAACGCTACACACAACTCAAACAAGATATTGATCTTAACTGATCGTTTTGTTTTAACTAATGTTGTATTTATTCTGTCACTGGAAAGAAATAGCTACTTTTATTTTTAGAAAATTTTTAATGTTATTTGAACTAACTGTAAAAAATGATCTGATTAGTTTCACACATTAATCAACCATTAAAATAATAAAGTTTATTAGATAAATCGGATTATTTTATTTTGTAAATATCATCAATGTAATGTTCAAAGAAATCTTTACTTTTCACGAAATGGCAACTGAAATTTTAATTAAGGTCTTCAAAAACAAAAAACTGAAAACTTTGTATGTTACCGATTCGAACCCATAACTCCTCTCCCATTCTTTTCGTTGTTACGTTTCGTCTTGGTGTTGTGCTATTTTTTATCACTTAGATTTGTTCTTATAACAAAATTCCGTTTTTCTCACACGCAATTTACTGAATGTTTGTAAACCATAAAGTTTAAAATGGGTTGGATTGGGGTTGTGTAATAAGACATCATGTTCACACATATACTGTACGAGTTCAGGTGGGGAGCTGCGTCAGCATGCGTAGGCTGCAAAGGAACAAGTAATAGATTTATTCTATGCTGAAAAAAAGAAGAAAGAGAACACAATGTTTCGGCCGTGGAGCCTTCTTCCTCACACCTGAAGAAGACTCCTGTTGACACCAGTTGACACCTGAAGAAGGCTCCACGGCCGAAACGTTGTGTTTTCTTTCTTCTTTTTTTCAGGATGGAATAAACCTATTACTTGTTCCTTTGCATATACAGTACGTGTTGGTTCGATGTGTTTTCTGGATTAGTACTCACAGAATTAAGATTAAACTCTTATGAATGCCCTGTTTTGCAAATTTACTTTAATTAATGGCAGTTAGGCAGCAGTAGTAGTAACAGAATACTTGAGAATGTAAAACAAACCGGTGAGACCGGTGAGAGTCACTTGAATGTATAGACTGTTTTATTTTTTAGTAAACTTTCACGTGTCCTTCGAGAGCTGGAAGACTGCAAGTACCAGAATGCATAGCGAAAAGCCACTTTAAAAATAGGGAGTAAAAAGAAAAAGGGAGTACATTTGTGAACATTAGTTCATAAAGTATTTGCGATCGTTTAAATTAAATAAGTTGCAAAATATTGACAAAAATATCATAAATAGTTCTACCCGCGCTCTTTGATTTTTTTAATTTATTTGTATTTGATTGACAGGCTCAGCAGCGAGTACTGGGGGCTTCAAAGCAATCCGGGCGCTTTGTTATGACGTCAGCGCCGGGCCTCCTGTGGAGATCCAAACAGTCGTTGTGAAGCGCTGAGGTAAGTGGACAACGGGAACAAAAACGGTTGGAGTAACCCTTAAGCTCCCAGAAAAAGGAAATTGTTTGTTGAAAAAAATACTAAAATGTAAGCGGAGACCTTGGGTTGAGCCGTGTGTGAGGTTTTGGGGGCGAGGTGGCCTTATTTCAGCGAAAAACGGGTGTTTTCAGTGTTTGGAGCTGCACGGCTCCTGAAGTGCTCTGACCGGTCAGTGAAGAAGAGGGTGCGGTTACAGCCCAGGTCAGGGATGGAGTCTGTAGCCCATTCAGAATGTTTCAGATAGAGCTGGGCTCAAGGAACCACGCCGTTAGAGACTGTACCTTGTCGTGCGACGGGTCCCGTTTGATTGCAGTGCGTCACCTGAAACGTGCAATGGTGTGGATCGAGTGGTCAGTCGCTGGTTACCATGGCTATAGCTTTTCAGGCCAACACTCGTGGGCATCATTTCACAATGGGTCTGGGAGGTGGTTACTGCTGTATTCTCTATTATCTTTAGCGCTGAGTATTAGCAACGTGGGACCTTATCGTTATCTTCGTGGTGTTGTAAAACTTTACGTTTTTGCTGGCTGGAGGTATGGTTAATCAAGGGATCTGAGGTGTGGGCCAGCGAGGAAAATAATATTCATTGTTCTTTTACGACGAGCGGACCCACACAATTGTGGGCACTTAAAACACTAACCGCTTTCGTGTCAATATCTCTCAAAGGAGTTTCCCCTCGACATAACAAATGGACAGTCCGTAGGTAGAAAACACATTGGGAAATCATAGAAAGATGAAACGTCGTTAGCACATGGCAGCCGAAGGAAAGGTTTTTTAATCGACGTTTGAGGGCGGATAGAGCCTGACAAGCTCGCTGGAACGCTTTGTAGTCTTGTGAAAATATGTAATTACTAATATTAAAATATATACATGAAACATCTAACAATAATGTGGCCTTTCTACCAAGAGAGGTAGAGGTGGGGGGTATGATATCTGTTAAGACCAGTTCTAGCTAGAGTGGTTCAGCCCTTTAAACGAGCGAGCAACCGAAGAACCACTGCTTGTGGAACTTAATTAAATGAAATTTGATTCATCTGCAAAAAAAAACACTTGATTCTGCTGTTATTTTGCTGATTTATTTAAAACTGGCTTCCCTCATGAGTGATTCTGAGCTCCTTCTAGAACGTCCAGGCCACCGTTTGTCTGTCTGCTCTGAAATGGCTTTATCCCCTTGCTGTTTTGGTGCCTTGAAGAAGTGTGAAAATGCTCTCTTCCTCACAGTCAACTGACATTTCCTTCTCAATTGGTTGAAAAGTAAAGAACTGTAGGCCTGTGATTGCTTCTTTTTATTGTTAGTATAAGTGCATGGCTGTCCTGAATATTTTAACAGGGTTATTAAAGAACAATTGTTTTTAATTTGTTTGTTTAACCAGGGAGGCCAGTTAGGAACATATTCGCTTGTAAAGGGATGAATTGAATTGATTCATACAGCAGGGCAATTACTGGTTTTATATGGCCAAGGTCAAGGGTACAAGAGTAGTGTCCTTTCCAGCATTGGAAACAGTAACCCTCCGGTCCAGAAACCTCACCTCTACTCTACACTGCTGCCTAATTACTTGTGACACAGAGCGGGCTGCAGCAGGACATGCTGATCTTGAGCCCTATCCTGCGGTGGCATTGCTGGTATTAATCACGTTTATAGTCTCTAGAGCAGAAACCTCGCCGATGGGTGGGAGACACATCAGCATGTCCATGGTTGCTGGAAGGCTGCCCCCCTCCTGCTTTATTTCTGTTGCTGGAAACCATAAGGCAAACACTCCTGGGATTCCACAGGAGTCGAAAATCTTACATCAGACTAAAGGTCCCGATACAGGATAGGGACAGGCAAATCTCCCAACACTGAAGGCCTGATCTCCTAAAGCTGGTGGAAGAGGTTGGTGTTCCTTGTTGGTCAGACTGGTTTAGAGTAAATGGGACTCTTAAACCATTGTACTTTATCATCTTATGTGTTGGAAGAATTGTGGAAGTTGGTGTTAACTTCCACTAGGTTCCGGTTATTGAGGAATTATACCTTGCATAGTTCTGGACAGAGAAGCCCAAGATGGGGGGGGGACACTTCTGCTGTGCCATCTGACCAATGTTCCCTTTTCCAGGTTTGTTCTATCTAGCAGGGGTCATGGCGGGCGGTCAGTCAATGGACATCATAACCAAGGTTCTGGAGGACCAGATCATCCAGACGGCTAAAGTTGTGGAGGAGCAGCTGGACGCTGAGCTGGGGAAGCTGGAGAAGATGGATGATGACGAGCTGGAGAAACTGAAGGAGAGGAGGCTGGAGGCGCTGAAGAAGGCCCAGAAGCAGAAGCAGGTGCTGTTCCTGGGAAACCATACTGGGTCTTTCTGTCCACTACCAAGAGCAAGAGAAACAGTTAATTTCGACCCTGGCAAAAGGCTCTAGTCTCTCTGCTGTTTTCCTTTACACAGGCTGCCCAACCATGCTAAACTTGCACCACTGATATACAGCCCTAGCAGATTTTGTTTTAGCGTATTGCCTTTTTTAATGTTGCAAGCAAGCCTTTTAGAATTATTATTGCTGCTTAAATCAGTTAATGTGCTACCATAGGATTGTTGTGGTTTTGTCCTGTGAAGGATCAAGCAAAGTAAGTTTCTGTGGGAATTGGTTTGGCACACAGTTGAGGGAAATAGAAATGTTACAGTGTGCCTTTCATATGACCGAAAGTATTGAAGTATTGGTTAAATATTGGCATCTTGTACTCATAAAGTTTTCCTGAACTTTTGATTTTGCATACATTTTTTAAACATGATGCGTATTATCACTTCCTTCATGCTTTCCATCTAAGCTTAGCTGTTTCTGAACCCAGAAAAATCACAGAAAAGAATCTGCAAAATGTGTTTTACAAGCCAATCAAAATGAGTGTCTTTTGGAAAAGCCACTCAAATCATGGCTGTTTATCTGAAGTGAGCATCATTTCTGATTTTAAATGGATAAAAATTCTGGACAGAACATAATTGCTGCTAAACTTGAGCTCAGTTATTTTTAGAAGAACACAAACAATTTGAAGATGTGAAAGTAATGGCTTTGGAGAGAATAACTTGTCCGTTTTCAACCATTTTTCAAATATAATTGGAAGATTACCAGCAGCCACTGCACATGTGGGAGACAAACCCTGGTGCTGTGTGCCGAGCGAGATGTGCACTGGTGTGTAAAAATTGCAGCTGCGATCTGAACAGGAGTGGCCAGTGTGTGACCACCCATGTAAAGTGATTTGGCACCTCCTGTGCCTTCCTCCCTCCGTGGTTAATGTCCTGTGCTGCTTTCGGACTGTACATCACACATGATCCTTATCAGTAGCAGATCCTTGAAAGGAGTCTCGTTTTTCCTTTAGGAGTGGCTCTCTAAGGGACATGGCGAATACAGAGAAATCCCAAGTGAGAGAGATTTTTTCCAAGAAGTAAAAGAAAGCAAGCATGTGGTCTGCCATTTCTACAAAGATACTACCTTCAGGTGGGCAACGTGCAAAGGGAGAATTCATTGGGTGATAATGGGGTCCATTATTAAAGATGGTAAAGACAGCCATTGTTACAGAGCATTGTTACAGGTTTTTTCTTTTAAACAATTTTGAATCATATAGGCTGACCCAAGACTGCGGATTTTAATTAAAAACCACTTTAAGGTTAGAGCTGTAGTGAAATCCTTATTGTGACCTCTGGCTGTGAAACACTAAGCACTAACCAGTTATCCTGTTTGGTTGTGATAATAGTCAGTTGTAATATACCTGTAGATGTTAGTGCTCCTGTCTTGTTGTTGTACACCCAGTTACCTGCATATAAAATTGCATGAATTTGTCAGGAGATGTGTGATGTTATTACTTGGTAGCAAACCTTTAACCATTAAAAAACTGAGGTACAACACACCAGCAAATGTGCTGATGGGGCCGTCAGTACAGTAGTTGAGATGAGTGTGCCTTCCAATAGACCATAGACCCATCCTGAATCTGAAGTTGTTATTCAATATTTGCCAAGTATGTGTATTAGAAGCAAATCAAACTCACAGTGTTTTTTGTAAAAGGCACAAATAGAATGCATGTGTAATTCTACATGGGTCCAGTAAGAAGGAACATTTAATAATAATAATTGCTTACAGAAAAGTATAGCGCTTTTCTGGACACTCCACTCAAAGCGCTTTACAGGTAATGGGGACTCCCCTCCACCACCACCAATATGCAGCCCCACCTGGATGATGCGACGGCAGCCATAGTGCACCAGAACACTCACCACACATCAGCTCTCAGTGGGGAGGAACAGGGTAATGAAGCCAATTC